GGAGGTATGGCATCTATTAAGTAGTGGTGGGCGATACTGCCCAAAATGGATTTGATACGATACCGATCGATATCAGCTCATATCGAGAGTATCGATACAGTTTTGATACGATATTTAGACCACACCTATGGAGTCACACCCCTTATTATTGACTGTTTTCATCAATGTTCTCATGCACGTGTATCCACGTGTGTGTATTATACGTCATTAACTTATTAAAATTTTCATTATTAATATTATTTAACCATAATAAATGGGCGTGGTCAACATATCGATCCAGATTCCTTCAAAATTTCGATACCGATACGAATCGATACCGTAAAATATCGTTTGTATCAATAAAATATCGATATATCGCCCACCACTACTATTAAGAATACAGAAGCATCCTCAATAGTATGAGATGGAAAGGGTAGCCCCTGTAATTATATACTCTAATTAGTGTTTTAGGTGATCAGTCTGTTCCTAGTAGTATTTGTGTATTGTTTCCACTCGTGTTTGCTGGCAATGTAAGTACATGTACATTATAAGGAGTGTTCATATTGTATTGTTAGGATGATGGCACTGTTGTCATCAGAGCACCAACATACACCACTGGTAATGGACCCTCTCCTTTTCTCTCTTTAAAAATTTAAGGACAACTTTGGAGCCAATTTCTATAGGCAATACTGTACTGTACATACATGTACATGTATAGTATATGTATGTAGCCCATGTGGAAACAATTTTAAAATGGCCATAACTTTAAAAATATTTGTCGGAACGAGCTTAAACTTTCAGCATAGCATAAGGACATCAATATGTATCAGAAAATGTAATAAAAATTAGAGGTGATTTTGGAGCCATTTTTTGGAAAAACCATGGGCATAAGCCTTGGGTACTTTTTGAAAATTGGCTCATTTTAAAAAATGCTCATAACTCAAAAAATATTTGTCGGAATTAGCTCATAGTATAAAGACATCAATAATAAGCATGTACATGCATTACCTCCTTGTTAGTTAATCAAATATTATGTCTTTTTTATTATGTAGCTGCTATGGGTACTGATAATGAAGGTGGTTACTGTCAACCAGTCATACATGTAGAGACTAGTGGAGCAACACAGCACAGTACAGTCAATGATTGGCATGGTAAGATCCAACTCAAGGACATGATACCTCAAGTGGTGCTCTTGTTGCTACTAAAGACTATCTTCATTCACTTGAGAATAATCTATTAGGATTGGTACACCATC